ACAGACACATGTATATATATACAAGATCATACATATATATAAATTTTATAGTATGGTTGATATATGATTAGGTTTCATTTGATAGAATGAACATTATTTGTAACTAATTTTAAAAGGTTTGACTTATTTTATTTATGATATTGAATGAAAGAAAAGAAAACACTTCAATAGACAGATTGGATTTATTTGTTGTACTTATTCATGACTGAGTCTCTCTCTATATGACCCAAATAAATCGATACGAGCTACATGGTAGTTTGTCAACCTGTTAAGTTTCAAAGAAATGATGAATCGATCATTGTTTAAACCACCATGGAAGCTTTAGAAGCACTGAACGAGTCAGTCCCATACCAAGGATGGGATGGCCGGTTAGTGCTTCCATGTTTCTAATGGTGGTCTAACAATGGTCGATTCATCGTTTCAAATGAAAATATGTATTAGCTCAATTAGCTATGAGGCAGTAATACAACAAGTTGAAATTGATAATATGCATTAATCAATGTCAGAACACTATCGAAATCCTTAACATACTGAACGATCGTTTCGTCCTAGTGTGGTGTATACTACTCACAATGTGGCTTCTAAGTAGTATGCAGTGGAGGGTCATTCAGATTTAATGACCGGAGAGAAAGAGTGTCAGATCCAAATGTATGGTAAGATCAAAGTGTTTTGAAGAACAGAAGAAAACAGTTAGTTATCTGTTTGTTTTGTAAATGGAAATCTGAAGATAAATGGTACAGATTTGGTTAATAAACTGTATCATCTCCAAGTACATTAGTATTTGATTTTGGTCTAAACAGCTTCGTTCTCGTGTGCTGTAACGGGTATGATAGCGTTGTAACTTCTCGGCTGCCCAAACCGTGAAAGGGTGTTTCTTGAGGAACCCAAAAAGGAAGGTAGATTAGTGTCGATCTTAGGGACCTGGGAGCGTGACCACAGAGCCCAACGGACAACTGCTTGGGACCGGTCATGCACTGCCTTTTTATGAGAAGTTTTTAAAGTATTCACTCCGTTCTTGTTTAAAAGGCTTTACAGTCGGAGACTGAAATCCGTGAGGTAGGGTGAGGTGTGACATTTTTAGGGTCGACCTTTTCTAACCCTTCCTTCCTTCTGAGAAGGCAGCATCGCTGTGGATGCTGGTTGTCCGAGGGAAATACGTTACTGCTGCATAACTCTCTGCAGTCAGACGTCCAACTTGCCTCTCAAACCTTGAGTTGCTGCTTTTAGTCTCATCATTCCGCAATCAACCCGCCTGTCATAGTAGGACATTCAGGAACATATGTTCCAGCCAATATAGCTCGGTTCGGTCATCACGATAGGCAAGCCCGATCGCCACGACAAGGTAGCAGCTATAGTCTGGAAACATACTAGATTTCTATTCGAAAAAGTAGCAGATTATTCGCTGTCTTCTCCTGGTCTTCAATACAGTTTGATCATTCTATTCATTCGGATACGACACTGTTAGGTCATAAATTCTGAGCGACACACTTCATTTCATAATATACTCTGAAACTACATTGTGCGTAGTATACACTGTAACAGGATAAAACAACCGTTCAGTGCTTCCAAGATTTTAATGGCGGTCTAACGTTGATCAGTCCATCAGTTTAGATAAAAATCAACAATCGCTACAATCTTCATACTGTGTTAGGCACCACACTATCTACTATCAGATATCCGAACCGATGCTGGTTGTCCAAGGGAAACAGCTTAGTGCCTTCACACCACTCTACAGTCTGTAATAAGACTTTATAACTTAAGTCGTTGCTTTCAATCTTAACGTTTCTCCAATCGACCTACTTAGCACGATAGAACCTAAAGGAACATATATATTTCAACCACTGTAGCTCACTCAGTTAAGTCATCACGATAGGCAAACCGAACCACTACATCAACGTACCAGCTACATTTGGACATTTAAAAATCAATTCATTGAATAAATGACTCAACATAACTTTTTTTTTTAAAATATTACATCAAGTCACTACTACTCATTATTGATTCAATAGTAGTAATATATATAAATATTCAATCTCAAAAACAGTAAAAACAAACTATATAACTTACAATCATTGTACGTCTAGCTTCTTCAACATTTCTAATTATAGTTGCGTATACGGATAAAGCATTTTTAATGATAATATCATCATCGGTTTCAGACACTTCTAAATAATAATAATAATGAAAAAAAAACACCACATTGAAATTTGTAGTTAGTTAGTTAGTTAGTTAGTTAATTATTTATAGAATTAGAAAAAATACCATTTTCTGTTTGTGTTATACAAACTGTTTGATGTGCAGCATATTCAGAAAAATCACGCAATGATGCAGCATAATCGATCAGCGCTTCGTTTAATGCTGAAACAAAGAAAAAAGAAAAACAAATATAAACAAAATGATGATAAGAATAATCAGATAAAAAAAACACGCACACATAAAATTAAAACGTGAATAAATAAATGACCGGTGGAGTTCAACTCTGTTGGGTGAAGGTAGTATACAGCGAAGACAATGGATGAGGTTGGGTAAGACCATGGGTTGATCACAAGTTAGACATTACCATACTATTAGATACCGGTTCACAGCGGTCCATAGGTTAGGCGCTCGCTCGCAAGACATAAGGTCCTGGGTTCGAGTCCTGTTGTGGTGTAAGCTACTTATAAGTAGTATATCGCGTGAGTGTCAACGTAATGTCTGGCAGCAGAAGATGGGGAAAGCTCAAGAAATGAAGAGTGGGAACACAATGGAATTTGTATGAAACGCATGAATAAGTGAAATGTCAGACAATGGATTGATGACTGATTGAAGGTTTGCAAATTAACAGTTACGATATGGTTTTCCTATTTTACTGAGTAACTCTGTAATTTTCGTTAAATACAATTCGGTTGCCGTCATCTGTGTTCTCGTTCACTACACTGTGAGTGGCAGAAAACGTAGATGAGCACTTCTAATGAGTCCCATACACGAAGACGAAACTGCCATAATCCAGTGCTTCCAGGTTTCTAATGGAGGTTTAACAATGGTTCATTCATGATTTTAATGTTTCATTTATGTTTTAAAATAAATCGTCACTTATTATAGTTGATTGTTGACGAACCTATTATTCATCATCATGTCGCACCTAGTGCTATACTACGATCAAGACTGGAAACAGTTTAAGTACCTTCTACAGATGCTCTCATACGACACGACAAATGTAGTGGAGTCTTACTCATTGTCTTTACGTGAATGGGATGTCGTTTACGAAATTGAAAAGATAAAAGGGCAATGTCCGATGAGGAATAAGTAAACTAGATTGGTGGATACGCAGCATCCATGTAAGGGAGTTGAAAAACCTCGCATTTGAAACCAATGGACTCCAGGATCTTGACGGAACGAATCGACTGAAAAACATATTATTGTTTGACACCGGTTACCTTAATTAACCAAATCGCCTAATTTTGCTCCATTGCCATGTCAGTTAAGTCAAAGGCACGAGGAATAGCCTTCTACGACAATCATGTGGTTTAGTTTGGACACACAGATAGTAAGTATGCCAGCCTACACGCGAAAAATCGTTGATTTATATGGCGTATAAAAATTTACACATCCCTTTGTATCAAAAATTATGTGTTTAAATAAAAATATCTAATATATATTTGTGATTAGTATACGACATATCAATTCGTACATTCAACCCCAATTTATGCGTTCAGTAGAAATTCGTGACACACCTATCTCTTTCGTGGCCCGGATATGACGTAACTAACGATTGACATTATATTTTTTATCTTGTTTTATTTTTATTTTTACACATTTGCTTATTATGTAATGGTTTTGATGTTTTTGATGATTATTTGAAGTCTATTCATGCACATTTGACCTACTATAGATAAAACTTTAATTATCATATTTTATAATTTTCCTACTACTATCAATACACCTGTCTTCCTACTACTATCCACTTGAACTTTTACCTATTAATGTGTAGTAACGTAATCTTTTTCATTTCATTGTGATTATCACTCAAATTGCCTTGATTGGTTTAACATTTTCATATAAATATTGATGTATATTAGAGATAAAGCCTGATGACGATCTAATCGAAAACAACCATCTTTTTCGCTTATATCTGTGTTGTTCAAAAAATTTTGTTATCATTTAATTTGAAAATAACGATACTACTACCAATTTGACCTGAATCTAAATGAGCATTTACAAAACCAAAAAACTATTTCCAATTATAAGTGCATTTTTTTATTGAAATTATGAATGAATTACCATTGAAAACCTAGAATTACTGAATGTTCGTTTTGTTATCAGTCAGTTAAATGCAACGTAGAACTTTGAACGTAAGTACATCAGTTCATGTTGCCACACCACATCAGCAAAGAGATATAATTATCAATTCAAATCCAATAGTAGAAGAGTTAATAAGGGTATTAGAAGTAATCAAAGGGGTTAGGGTTAGAAGATATTATTCAAGAAGTGTGATTCAGTGAAAAAAGGTTAGAAAGTCAAAAGTAGAGGGGTAGAACAATTCAGAAAATTAGGATTTGAGTGAACACAGAGAGTAACTGAACCGGCGCCATTGCAAACGGTTTTGAGCCATGTCATTCAGGGCATCTAACCATCGATTATTATCATCTCGTGGACCCCAAACAGGTAGTCGACACCTAACAACATAAGTCAATCCACTTCTCGATGACTTCATGGATTTCTGCCATGTTTTGGTTTGGCCGCCCCTAGCTTTCTTACAACCTACTCCAACACTACAAAACAAAGCTCGTCAAGGCAATCGGTGGTTAGGCATACGCAGCACATGTCCCAACCACCACAACTGATGAAACCCAATCTTGAAGCAACACTTTGCATTTCGAGGGGAAAAACCGCATCCCGAACATGCTTGCATTGTTGCTTAGGGTAGTCAGAAGACTCTGCATTTTGTCACCGTCTTCACCAAGTAGGACTATGTCATCGGCATATTCTAAGTCAATCAGCGAGCCACCTGGTAAAAGGTCTGCTCCTGAAAATTCAGACGACGATAAGGTTATGTCTAGGAGCATGTATATGATGAAATTAAACAAGAATGGAGAAAGTGGACATCCCTGACGGACACAACTCGATGTAGAGAATTCCGGTGACAGTTCGCCATAATCCCTCACTCGACCAGTGGTGTTCGAGTAAAGAGCTTGTATGAGGTTAATGTACTTCTTTGGTACACCTTTCAATGACAGACACTGCCACAGAACCTCAAGATCCACTGATTCAAATTCCGCCTTAAGGTTTTTTTTCTGCTTATCAGGTTACTACTTACTACTCAACAATGCGCATCCACAGTCGCGCAAGCGGAAATCAAGCACAAGATCTTCTTCGGTTTCATGTGCATGAGCACCTAACTTTCTGACTAATAAATAAGTCGCTAATCGAACGGTTCATATTTAAATTTAGTCAATTCAGGATATTGAACGATTATCTTCAGTAGCTAGCTAACGACCTCATATACTCAACACGATTGAACTCCACTAGTCATGGTGTGTGTGTAGAGGATTCAGTGTCCACAATGTGTGATCGTGAATGTGCATTGTTGAAAAGTTCCATACTATGACAAATACAATTTTTATTTAGGTAAAATCTAGATCAATAGAAAACTTATGAAATCCATTGATAATAGTAAATCTTATCAAATAGAATTTAATGAAATTTTATGTGAATTACAAAATAATGAGACAATTATTCGTAGTAAAGTGTTTAGAATAAACAAACAATTAAGACTATTATTATTATTATTATTATTATTATTATTATTATTATTGTATTCACCGATCGGTTTATTTTTTGAAAAAAAAAATTTCAGATTTTTAAATGGACACGTTCAACTATATTAAAACTAGTTCGTAATCATCGACATTCTATGAATTATTTTCTAATAATACGTTAACACTGATTCACTACAAATTGTTTGGCATTACGAGATTGTGAAGATTGTTAAGATACACAACTTTGAAATCATGAATCGATCAGTGATAGACCACCGGCATTAGAAACCTGGGAGCACTGAAAAACGGCCGTTTCGTTCTGGTATGGGACTCGTCAACAGTGCGCATCCACAACTCTTGCATGCCACAGGATTCGAACCCAAATTATTGGAAGTGACTAATTTGTGGGCGAGATAATTCTCAAAAAGGAAAACCTAATAAGAAGCTGTGATCAGTGGAGTTTAACCAAATTAGATGAGAAACAGTAATAAATCACTCATGTCATGGGAAAATATATGCGTACAAACTACTGACTTCGTAGTTTAAGCTAAATAGAGTGTGATAAGTTTAAATCCTAATACAATTGGTGAATGTTCACTGATGAGAAATCATATACAGTCTGACAAAATAGATGTTTACTGCTTTCCGAATCCCAATTTTTGCCCAAGGTCATTTTGCAGCGAAAAATCATAACAAAACTTGACAATCTCCACTAACTCCTTGCTCTGTGTTGTTGAGTGTCAACCAGCATAAAACGTAAGTGTCTAAAGTTTTCATTTATGTGCATTAATAACGAACTAACGTCAAAAAAATAAGTTACATAATGTCCAGTGACTAAAACTAGTGGTTAACTTAAAAATGGATCGATAGAACACGTTCGCTACTAAGCATTTGAAAAAAATGACATTGGTCACTCACTACACAGTGATCAATCAATGTAGACAACATATTATTACGTCCGTAAGTCAGTCAGTCAGTCAGTTACAACGTGGAACTTCATATGTGCGTACATCAGTTCAGGTTGATATACCACATCAGCACAGAGACGCAACTGTCAGTTCAAATCCAAGAGTGATAGCGATAGTTGAAATATTAGCAGTAATGGAGAAGATTAGGGTTAGAAGATATGATTCAAGAAGTATAATTCAGTGAGATAAGTTTAGGAAGACAAAGGAAGAGGTGTTGACGAATCCAGAAAATTAGAGTTTGGTAGAACACAAAGAGTGGATACACCTGTGCCATTGCAAACGATTTGGAGCCATGTCATTCAAGGTCCCTAACCTTAGGTGACTTTCGTCTCGAGGACTCCAACCAGGTAGTCTACATCTACCAACATGACTCAGTCCACTTGTCAGTGACTTCATGGATTTCTGCCATGTTTCGGTTTGGCCGCCCCTAGCTTTCTTCAAACCTACTCCTACACCACAAAACATAGCTCTTCGAGGTAGTCGGTGGTTGGGCATACGTAACATATATCCCAACCACCTCAATTGATAAAGTTTCAATACTTCATCTATTGATCTGCCATCTTTACCTAGCACCCGTTTCCTAACAACAGCACCGCTTACTCGGTTGTCCCACAATATGCGAGCAATGCTTCGAAGAACACCTATGAACGAG